AATTTTATACTTATGTCTAAGCACTCAATTTTCATTTCATGTAATTTCACAAGCATCACGGCCATCTTTAAGATAAAAGAAGTCATAGACATACCCGTGATCGGCGCTGCTCCTTCTTTCTCCGCAAGTGCATACACAAAGGATCCTGCAGCTTGCTTCTTAGCTGGCGGTCCTGGAAACTGTCCATGGTGAACTGCGGGTGCTGGCTGATTAGGCACAAATTAAGACTTTGCAATCCTTAGCAAAATGTCCACGCACTCCACACTTGAAACAATAATTGTTCTTCCCTTGGGCTCGACAATCCTTAGTGAGATGTCCACCTCTTACACATCCAAAGCACTTGATTATCCCACAACACCCAAAATGCTTCTTCTCACAGCAATTGCACACTGGAGCATTTTCGGAAGGATAGTTTCCAGTCATGTCCATCCAAGTCCTCTTCTGAGTCTCTTGCACACGCGGTGCAGTGCTCCGAGACTGAAGGCTCCTTGCTTTCTTCAGCTCTTCCTCAAGATCAACTTCCTGACTAGCGGCTGCACATTCACTGGCAGGACATGCTCATCCTGCAGGTTACCAAACCTCTCCTGGTAACGACGCAGCTCTTCCAACAATGCAGCATGAGCTTCAGCTGTCACCGGAGCAGGATTAGCTCCATTGTGGTTTCCATCCACAGGAACTTCCACATTGTGGCCACTCTCATTCACACTTTCACTTCTCACAGGAGAATGAACGTCCTCAGCATTCACTGGCGGAACAACAACACGTGCTTGAACATTTCTGGCTTTCGAAGGCATCTGAAGAGAACAACACAAGATCAGCAAGCAAGTCAGTCCGGATCCGTAAAGATTGATCTTCCTGCAAAAAGAAAAAAGCAACCAAAACGAGAAAAACTATAGGTGGTGGTTTTATAATTTTTAGAAAAATCTCCCCAAAAATTGTAAAGAAAATTCGAATTAATTTAAAAAAAAACAGAAAATCAGAAAAAAAAAATATTTTTTTCTAAAACATTTTTTTTCTGTAAAACCTTTTCCTAGAAAAACATTTCTTCTATTTCAAAATCAAAATTCGAACCTAGGCTCTGATACCAGTTTTGTAACACCCCGACCCGTCAACCAGACGAACCGGAATGTCACACTCGGTTCTAAACCGGTTACTTATCCTAATTAAACGAAATAAAATACATTTTTGAATAAAACTCTTATTCAATTAAATAGATTCAAGTCCTGCAATTAAAATCCATAAATTATTCTTAAAAATAAACTGAAGCAAATGACTAAGAAATCTCTTGAAAATAAGTATTGAAAATCCAATTAAAAATGAAAGAAACACCCATCCCAAATGCACACTACTTAGGACTTATCTTCCTCGTAATCATGAAGATTATAATCTTCGTACTCACCTGAAAAACAAAGGTTTCCAGAGGGGTGAGTAATCTCGACAAATTACTCAGTGAGGAATAAATCCACACTCCCATTTTAATATTTATTCATTTCCAATATATCAAGTCTAAATCTAAACAAGCAACAAGTAAGTGCTCTACAAGCACACAAACAAAGCAAGCGCACAGATCATCATGCTAACGAGGCATAATAAATTCTTTTGGTCACAAAGACGATTAGTGTGGTTCGCCTCAACCACCAAGCGATGTGATTCATCCTTTCTTCCAGGCATGAACCCCATCAAACAATAACCGAACCAATGTGCCGTTACACAGGTCGATCACCTATCTCTAGCTAATTACAATCATTAGGCAATCAACAGGTGATCAAACAAATATGCTGATGATTCATCTAATGCTTTTCTTATCAATTTGACTCTTTCATGACCTTCCCTAGATGCATCAGATCAACTACCTGATTAAACCTAGACTCAATACACAAAAAACAAACAAACACTGTCCTAGAAATCTGAACCTACTCCTCACCTTTGCCACTTAGCAGATCTGGGATTATGGAGACTGAGAGTTGAATGAATCAAGCAGACGACGAGAAGGCAGGACCTCACGACGACTTCTCCTTGGCTCAGCGGCGGCGCAGAGGCTTCAGGCGACGACGGCAACTCGAGCAGCAGCAACTCGGGCGACTTCTCTCTTTCTTCTACGGTTGGGGGCTGATTTTGCAGAGAATGAGGCTCCTTCCCTAGAGTTTTCCTTTTTATAAAGGCAAAATTAGGGAATTGGGCCTCTTCCTAGACTTCCTGATGGGCTGGGATGTTACAGTACTTAGGTAATAAAATATTGTCTGAGAGCGATTTATTTACACTGGCCTATCGTTGAACTGTTGAAGGGCATTATGCCATTACAATCGGCTACGCCACTTTCAACCCCACCTTTTATCCCATAAACATGTTGGCTAATAATAATTTGTCTCACAAGTAATTAATGACAGTTTGTTTATGTTTATACAAGAATAGGAAGTCCGGTTTGAAAGCAAGACATGACGACCGAGAACTGATATACTTTTTCCAGTTTTGTTTTTGCTTTTAGATCAGACCTCTAAAGCCTGTAAACTACAGATATACCACCACATTCTAATAAAGTAATAGAATATCAATTGCCATGAACTCATAATTCTTATAAACATAAAAATTTGGGTTTTTATTTAGGGAGAGTTTCAGATTTAACCCATATTTCAAAGTCAAACACAAAATTAACCTCTTTTTTTCTCTCTCCAACTTTTGCCATTTTTTCACAATTTTATCCTTCTCACTTAAACTATTAACGAAAATGCCATTATACATCTATTATTTCGATTTTTCTTTAATTTGGCTAAAGTCTCATTGGACCTTCTAAAGACCTTTTTATTACGAGAATGCCATCTTCTTCAATTTCTTCAACCACCATGAACAACCATGAAAATGGAATAAATGCTTCTCAACCAATTTTAAAGCTGTAATAAGTAAATATTTGAGCTTATTCACTCATAACCTTCCTCATTCTTTCATAATTTATTCTCCAAAACATCTGGGCTAAGTTACAATGCCAAAAGTCATGCATTTTTGGTGATTTCTGGTTACTTAACATCTGGGTTGCTTATTTTTGGTGAAATCTTGAGTTCTGGTGCTTAAAAGAACTGTAGTCAAGCTCAATTTTGTTAAAGGTAATCGTCGCACTTCAATTTTTCCATATTTCAGTTTTCATATCGCGAAAGTAGACTTCTCGTGAAGTATACTGAAGTCTACTAGTCAACATAAGGTTATTTTTGCAATTGACTTTTTAAAAGTAGACTTCATTAAACCTCACGAGAAGTCTACTTGATATCCTTTGAAAGCAAAAAAAAGCATAGTAGACTTCATTTGAAAGCTTAAGAAGTCTACGAAAGAAAAGAGGTTATTTTTGTAGTTGACCGTATTTTGACTTTTTAATGTAGACTTCTTTCTAAAGTCTACTGTTTACGTCTGCACAAGAAGTCTACTTTTAAGTTACTTTTGTAGTTTGACCAAAAACGTATAGGTCATTTTAGTGTTTGACTAAAGTTTTTTAAAAAATAAAAAATTCAGAAAACTCCGGAAAGCTGCAGTAGACTTCAGAAAGAAGTCTAAAAACTGTAGACTTCTTTGGGAAGTCTACTTATATTTTTTGGTCAAACTTAGAAGGAATCTTTTTTTGAGTAGACTTCACAGTGAAGTCTACTAAAGATAGTCAATTGCAAAAATAACCTATTTTTTTCCGTAGACTTCTATTGAAAAGTAGACTTCAAAAGTAGACTGTCAGAGAAGTCTACTCTTACATGAAGTCTACAATAGAAGTCTACTATGTTAGTCAATGGTTTGGTCAAATGCTAAAGTAACCTTTTTGGCCCGAAGTCTACTTCTGAAGTCTACTGAAGGAAAAATCAACGGATTGGTCAATTGCAAAAATAACTTGTTTTTTAGTAGACTTCTTTAGTAGATTTCACTATTAAAAAGTAGACTTCTCCTCCAGTCTACGTTTGAAGTCTGCTTTAAAAGTCTACTTATTGCAGTTTTTTTAAAAACGCGTTTTAGGCAAATTTATAAAGTATTTTTTTAATTTTTTGGATTAGAATTGCTTCTTAGTAAGTGATTGAACTACGCAGTGAATTTCATTTCATTTCATTCGATATTTATTGTTGAATCAGAAGTTTTGATTTTTAAGCTACTTAGCTTATCAAAGTAGACTTCGTCGTGTAGTCTCCGTTTGAAGTCTGTATTAGAAGTCTACTTATTGTATTTATTTTAAAAACGTTTTTTTGGTACATTTATAAAGTATTTTTTTCAATTTTTTTGTTTTGAAATGTTTGTTAGCAAGTGATTGAACTACTCAATGGTTTTCATTTCTTTTAAGTCGATATTTATTGCGGAATCAGAATTTTTGATTTTTTTAAGCTAGTTAGCTTATCAAAGTAGACTTCTCTAGCAGTCTGCTATTGAAGTCTAATTGGGAAGTCTTCTTTTGTTAAAAATGTTTTTCTTACATTTTTAGAATGTTTCTTTTTAATTTTTAAGTTTGGACATGCATGTTAGCAAGTGATTGAACTACTCAATAATTTTCATTTGATTTAAGTCTATATTTATTGTGGAATCGAATTTTTTGATTTATAAGCTAGTTAGCTTATAAAAGTAGACTTCATTTGCAGTTTACGGACAAAATTTACACATGACATCTCCTATATAGATATTTCTATTGTGACTTACGTTTTTGCAATAATATGGTTCATAATTTTGTTTGCTAATATGATTTTTTTTGTGTTTTATCACAAAATATGGTTTATAGAGAATGATGGATGAGAACTTGTGTAATGCTTTTGTATTCTTGTTTGCAAGTTAACAGTTATAGTACACAAGTAATTAAAGTGACATAAGCTAATTTTAAAACATTGTCTTGGACACATTTGAGTATTTTGTTATGTGCATTTTCAATCATTTTTACAGCTTCTTATCATCCCATTTCTATACCAGCCAAGAAATGTAATTGTTTCTACGTATTGTTTTAGACTGATTTGTTTCAATATATATACATCATTCTGGGTTGAGAGACATTGCATAACACTATCAGAACACTGTATTAATTTTCACAAATACAAAAGTAATCAATAATACTATTATAGTAATCAAAGTATTACCAACCTAGATCACAAAGATACACTAGTACATACTAATACTAAGAAGATACTTATACTAATACTAAACCAAAGCAACTTCGAGAAAACATCTGGAACCAGTGAAGTGGCTAGTGACACTGCAGAACCAGTGAAGCGCTTTTGTTGTCTTTGCTGTAGCTTTTACAGAGTCAGCAGGAATGAAAGATATGAATAGTTTGTCCCATCCTGCTTGTGGAACCTTTTGCAATATAAACAAAGAACCCATCAGATCACGGTGCTCTATCGACATCTTTTTGAAACTACTCAGAAATAAAGAGTTGCACACCACCAATAAGCAAAAACAATAGGAAGTATGATCCTAGGTGAGTAAATGACATGCAGAGTTTCTAAAGGACGCCTTCTGAGCTTATTAGTAAATTGACTTACATGTTGCCAATAACAAAGAGTAAGCCTCCGAGTCCTTTCAGAGCAACAATTGCCCATACGACTTGTTTCACCTTTTAATAAATTCGTTCTCCAAGTCAGACAAAACATATATATAGACAGCATAAGAGGCATGAAGACAAGGACCATATGTTTAAGCAACCAACAAACCAAGGCATACCTCTATGTCGGGCAATGCTACTCCGAATCTGGAAGAGAGATGTGCTTTGGTCAGATCAAGCTTCGGAGCCAACTCTTTAGCCGCTGGACCACCGTCAGCTCCAAAGTCATTGAACCTAATAAAAAGTACCACGAAGAATAGTTTGGATTTCGTAAGATGATCGATAAGAGGATATTTGAGAAAGCTTCTAAACATATGATATGACTGGTGAGCTTTCAAGCATACAGATGTGTCAGTATCGAAACTTTACATTGATAAATAAGATATTAAAGCAACGGGACCTGTGAGTTAATTTTTGCAGCATCGGTTAGGGAAATCAAAACTTGAATCAATTTCGTCATTAAGAAAGAGATCTGAAGCATACAGATGGGTCGTAAATCAAAGGAAAAAAGGGAAAAAGTACCTAAGGTTAAGCTAGATTCATCAGCTAGGTAGAATTAGACAAGCCCTAGATCTACCCTAGATGAGCTTAGACCAAATCAAACACTTTGGCGAAATTCTCAATCAAATCAGGTCTATCACAATAAATTTCCCTCCAAGAAGATTGAACAAACACATTAAGAAACCCCAATCCGCGGAACCGGAGAAACGAGAGAAGAGATCGAGATGAGATGAAGGACAAATGAAAAAAAAAAAAAACTCACATTTGCCAAGCGGAGAGGATGAATAGAGAGGCGAAGAGAACTCTTCCAAGAAAAGAGAAGAAACCCATTTTCTCTCTCGCTTTGTCTCTGTCTCTGTCTCTGTCTCAAGGTCGCAGGCCTGGTTTGCCGTCGGAGATAGTGAATCTTTCTCGGTGGACGCTAAAGCTCGGATTCCTCCTGCGGTAGAGAACTCGTCGGAGGAGGAATCCGAAGTAAACGGATACAGTGACAAACTTGGCGGATCTAGGGACCTCGTCGAGGCTGTGCTTGCGAATCTGATGGTGTGGCTTCTGCTCGAATTGCTGGCTGTAGAACTGCATCTTACGCCGATGCAGAACAGGGACGAGCGATCCAGAGAGAGCGTCGTTTTCGTAAAAGTTTCTTTAGGATAAAATTAGGGTTTATTTGCTATAGAACTAGTTTATATACGGTAAGTTTTTCTGATTAAAAAAACTTATTTTTATTCAATTTTGGTTTAAATTTCGGTTAAAATAGCATTTTTTTTTCAATTTTGGTTTAATTTGATTTAAATTTCGGTTAAGTTAATTTATTCGGTTTAGCAGATTTCAATATAGAAATTTACAAATTTTAAAACCTAAATAATAGATTTTCTTTTTTTTTAATTTAAAAACAAAAATTTCCATTTATCAATATGAAAAAATAATTTATGTACATTTGTGTTACAATTACGGAATTTATGAATATAATTTTGATACCAAAATAATTTTTTCTAAATTTTAAAATTAAATTTTCTGATTTAATTACTTAGTAGACTTTATTTCGATAAAAGAAGTCTACTTTTAGACTTTTTTCTCTTTTTAGTAGACTTCATCAGGGTGTAAACGGTAATTAGGACATCCGTTTTTTTTTACTCATACAGGATTAAATAGTCTTTTCACTATCCATTTAAGTTATTTCTGCCAAATGTTTTTTCAGGGATCTACTTTTGTATTCAAAATCAAGTTTTAGGTTATTTTTAGCAAAAACCTCTTTTATTTACTTATGATTGACAAGAAGTTACGAAAACCAATTACACTATGTATACAAGCTCTGGCTTTGATTGGTAACATGTGTTATCATTGATTTAAGTTGAGTTGAGGGTCTAACTCATTGGTAAGTCAAAAATATCACCAATCATGAGTCTAAGTTAAAGTTTTTGATTTAAGTTTGAGTTAGGAATAAGTTATGATTGCATTACAATTCTGAGTTATGTACTTTGTAAAATTGACTAACCTAAAAGTTAGCTCAAATCATGAAAAAAGTGATGAAGTAGATAAATTTTGAAGTTTGTTTTTTATTTCAACTTTCAAACATATGTTTTTTTTTGCTAATTGAATTTTAAATAATTACTGTACTTCCATTTAAAAATAACACACACTGTAATTTATATAGCAAAAAAGTTACCAATTAGTTTTTTTGTTTGGTAAAAAGTTACCAATTAGTCGTTTTTATAAAAATGATAATTCACATTTTTACAGCAAACTAACTGCATAAATTTACATCACATAATTTACAGCAAACGTATGTTTATACCACATAATTTTTACTGCAATTAGTTACATCAACTTATAATATTTTTTGTAATTCAACTTTGATATTCATGTTACCAATCATAGACAAAAAAAAAAACTTTGACAGGGTCCACGTTAAAAGAAGGGGGGGGGCGGGTGGACCTGAAATCCAAAAATAGAAAGAGGGCTTTATATTCTAAGAAGTCGCGTCTGTATTCATAAGTTTTTACTATATTTAGTAAGTTAAATTACGCATTAAAAGGTTTGCGTCCATACTTAAGTAGCTATTTATTCGGTTTCTTACAATATTACTTTACTAATTTTTATTTATCGTAATTTATTCGGTTTCTTACAATATTACTTTACTAATTTTTATTGACAACCGCATATACTTCAGAAGCGTCAGAGAGGGAATTTAAACTTGTAGTTGAAGCACAACTAGTCGAGGCATGCAGCATTATATATTCGATCAAGAGAAGGTATTTACCTAAGTTACTCGTATTGGATTTCTCAATAAATAGAATCATCCAGAAACAATACAATTTACAGTTTTGCTCTTTGTGAATGCAGGAATCTATAATGCCTAAACATTTACCTAAGATAGACCGGAGAAGGAACTCAGCTCCTCCAAATTTTCTACGAATGGACTTCGTGGTTGACTTTAATATTGTGAATCTCAGGTGCAAAATATCAGATCTCTTAACAAGGAAATTAAATGTCCTAATGTCTTTAAGTCTTTTCTACTCAATTTACAGGAATGTAACACAAGCTAGAGTTTTATATGAAATTTTAATGAATGTGGATTTGTATTTGTACAGGAAAAATTATCTAGTGTTTACTTTTGCACGCTATAATTATAGCCTTGGGTCTATATAAATTAATGCTAGGTTATCATTTTTTTTCTGTCATCGTTAACGTTTACTACGATAAAGATTAAGAAAAAAAAGGGTACTCACACTATATAGATACAGAGAAACTAATAATTCAATATCCCAAAACAATTATGATTCTAGTTAATGGAATCTAGTAACAAGAATATTAATATGGAGATAGGGTCTGCTCTTTCCTTTCTCGCAGCATCTGCGTCAACGTCGAATTAAAACGGTGATGACCGTAATACGTAACAAAGTAAAACGACGATGGCGGAGCTGCTGCTGGAAAAAAGAGATGTCGCAGGTGGTGTGGCAACAGTGACCGCATCACCTAAAAATGACGCCTCAAATTCCAGCGTCGTATGAGAGTTGTTGCGATCATCTTCATTAACACTTGCGATCATCTTCGGCGGCAATTTTAACTTTTTCGTAACCGTGTTGCTGCCGTTTTACTCTTTGTTGTAACCGTTTTGCTGCCATTTAACTCAGCGGGAAAGAAAAGAACAGACCCATAGAAACTTAAGATCAAACAAACGTCTGAGAATGAAACCAGCTAGAATACGGTAGAGTTTACAACAAAAGTAAAGATCCGAGTTCTTAAACCAAGATAACACAAACGGATAGAGTTTGCAACATAATTAAGGAAACAGATAGAGTTTGCAACATAATAAGAATAAAGATAGAGTTTGCAACATAATTAAGGAAACAGATAGAGTTTGCAACATAATAAGAATAAAGATAGAGTTTGCAATATAATAAGGATAAAGATAGAGTTTGCAACATAAGGAACGTAGAGTCCATAAACACGTCCGTAATAAAATAATTAAAGATAGAGATAGAAAGGTGGAGATACAAACCTCAACACCTCAGAATGGCTCCCATCCATGGAAACACTGTCAATATGTAAAGTGAGTCAATAAAAACACAAGAAAATGGATAGGGTGTGTTTTTCCCAAATCAAATATTTAAACCACATAAATAAAAATAAAAATAAAAAAAAATCAGTGGGTGTATACACTAACCTCAAGCCCGAACTTCCAACCAAACGCCGTCAATCTCTGAAGTGCTTGCATCATCACTCATAAACTGGTTCCTCACTCGGTGGCGATCCGTTTTAGTGCCGATGAGTTCGAGGCTGGTCGGAGTCGCTGCAGGCAGATTCAGGGTCTCCTTCATCTGATGGATGGACAAACCACTGAGTCGGTTCCAATCCATGGTATCCTCACCTAGTATCTCGGAGACTTCCCATTCTCGAGTTTGCAAATTCAAGTCATATTTTCTGTGATCGCTCATGCGGATGGAGAGGAGGTTCTCAGAAGGGGAGATGCTCTCCACACCTCGGTAATCAGCATGCTGATCATCGTCACCGTCATCAAATATAGGGATTGGGTTGAGAGTCCAAGCTACATCCCATATCCCGTTCCTCATACCAATGTAGTGAACATGAAGTGCATAAAAGTTATCCGTAACCACAATGGCATAAAAGTTTCTTTGGGTGACAGTTTTTGTCACAATCCCACAACGGACTACACAGCTTGGCAGAGGATACCCTATGTTAAGGACTGGAAGATTGTACCTCATAGCTTTAAATGGGTTGTAGACAAAGAAACGGTGTTGCCGTCCAGGGTTTACGCTAACCGAGTCCGAGGCCATCAACCATCCCATATTAGACCCCAAAACTCTTGCCCCTTCTAAATTCTGGTCCACAGAGACGTAGTGTCTCCCTCTACGTGGGTCGTATAGAGTTGCCTGAGAAGATCCTCTTTGGTGATACAAGAGCCATGGTTCATCGCCGTTATAGTTTCCTTTCTTCAGAGAAGGCAGACACTCTTTCCACTCATTGTTAATCATCCTTAGCTCGTGAGCTTCAACATAGTTAAACTTTTCAAAATTGGCATGTTTCCACAAGATCCGACCTCCAACATTTTCCCTGCAAAAACCAGAAGAAGAAGGTTAGCTAAGTTGATTCCACAAGTTAGAGAGTTTGATTACACAAGAATATAAAGATGTCGTACTATATAATAACTTAAATCCATTTCCAACCCAACCAAAAACAAAGAAAGGAAAACGCTTGATGTATTGTGCAGAATTAAGTTCAAGAAAATCCTCATACCTATATATTAACGAAGGAATTAATAAGAAGTCTCTAAGAAAATAAAATTCCCCACTTTATCAGAGAAACGAAAAAATAATATTATTTTCATCTCTTTTAGGTCAATAGGAGTTGAAACAAAAACCAGAAGAAAAATGTTACTTAAATCTTTTGATTCCACAATATAGAGAGTTAGATTTCGGATTTCACAAATTAGAGACATACATTTTGATGATCGGGAGACAAGAGCTTCACTAGTATCTCAGTGGTGAAGAGAGAGAAGAAATTCAGAATTTTTTTTAGTGGTAAAAAATGTTCTGCAATTTTTCAATTCAGTAGTGGTGAAGATAACTTCTGCTATATGGGGGTGTTATATACTGGAGTCTGGAATATAAAGAAACCCTAACTTCTTGCACTCAAAAAAAAATAATAACGTCGATTTTGAAAAAAAAAATTGTATGAAGGTTTAATATGTTGAGAGTGACAGATATATTTGCGTAGCATGCTTCTTACATGTTGAGAATGACAGATTAAATCAACGGTGGAGAAGCGATGATGAGAGGAGATATCAGCGTGGGAGGTTGCGTGATAGCAACCCTAAAAACTAAAAAGAGTAGGGCAATCATGAATACCTTTGAACTTGAATCGACACTTGGATGGTAGGGTTTCATAAATATACCTCGTTTTTGATTAATGTGACAGGCTCCGCGTCAAGACGTAGTTGGAAGGGGGACCTCGTTGCCAAAAATAGAGAGCTAGGCTTATTTTCAAAGAAGCCACTTCTGTATCTATAATAGGTTTTGCGTCCAAGACATATGGTTCGTTCATACTTACGTAAATTTCTTATTTGGTTTCTTACAATATTACTTACCAAGTTTTATTTACAAACGCGTATATATATATTTCTATTAATTCTTGTTTGTTGCTCGTTATTAATTTTCAAAAACAAAAACCATGCATTCACATATGTTGGCACTTAAGTAAGGACTAACTATAAAAATCGGAGATATAATTCTGCAACCTTGCGAAACCTTAGAATCTATAAAAGTTTGTATTTGTTTTACTATACAAGGTTACGAAGTCCGGTTTTGAATGTAAGACATGACGACCGAGAACTGAGATATTTTTCCACTTTTGTTTTGCTTTTAGATCAGATCTCTATAGCTTGTAAAGTACAGATATACCAACATATTCTAATAAAGTATAATAGAATATTAATTCCCATGAACTCATAATTCTTTTAAAAAAGATTTGGGTTTATTTACTTACGACTGACATGCACTTACGAAACCAATTATTATATATATACAAGCTATGGAGATTTGATAAAAAAGAAAAAAAAACACTTTGACAGGGTCCACGTTAAGACTTAGTGGAAGGGAAACCTCAAATCCAAAATTAGAAAGAGGGGGTTTATATTCAAAGAAGTCTCGTCTGTATTTATAAGCTTTTACTATGTTTAGTAAGCTACATTATGCATTAAAAGGTTTGCGTCCAAGACATATGGTCGTTCATACTTAACGTAGATGTTTATTTTGTTTCTTACATTATTACTTACTAAGCTTTATTTACAACCGCATATACTTCAGAAGCGTCAGAGAGGGAACTTAATTAAACTTGAAGCACAAGTAGTCGAGGCATGCGGCATTATCCAAGAGCAGGTATTTACCTAAGTCACTCGTATTGGATTTCTCAATAACTGTAATCATCCAGAAACATTACAATATACAGTTTGTTCTTTGTGAATATTGCAGGATTAATCCATGATGCCTAAACATTTACCTAAGATAGACCGGAGAAGGAACTCAGCTCTTCTACAATCTATTAAGGGACTTTGTGGCTGACTTTAATATTGTGAATCTCAGGTGCAAAATATCAGATCTCTTATACAAGGAAATGTCATTATGTCTTTTCTAATCAATTTACTGGAATGTAACACAAGAGTTTATATGAACTTTTAATGAATGTGGATTTGTATTTGTAATTAACATTGTACAGAATAATTTATACTGTTTACTTTTGCACGCTATAATTAAGTTGCAAACTCTGGAATCGTTACCATTATTATAATCTTGAGTCTATATATATCATTTTTCTTTTCGTCACCGTTAACGTTTAATTAGTGCGATAAAAAGAAAAAAAGGGTACTCACACTATATATACATACAGAGAAAGAAACTGAGAATTCAATATTCCAAAACGATTATGATTCTAGTTAATGGAATCTAGTAACCAATATATAAATATAGAGATAGAAACTTAAAATCAAACAAAAGTCTGAGTAATGAAACCAGAATACGGTAGAGTTTACAACAAAATTAGTAAAGATCCGAGTTCTTAACCGAGATATAAATATCAGTTCCATGAACTCATAATTCTTACTAAAAAGATTTGGGTTTATTTGCTTACGACTGACATGCACTTATGAAATCAATTACAATATATATACATATACAAGTTCTGGAGATTTGAAAAGAAAAAAACAAACTTTGACAGGGTCCACGAAGGGGGACCTTGATGGAGCGGAAGCACGAAAAGGGTATCTTGTTCCTCACGTTCCCGGGAAGTGAGAAGAATCAAGACGAAACTCTGTTTTCTGCTTAAAAACAGAGGGGCGAGACTTGTAAAGAAACTTTCTTTGCAAAGCTCAATGAAAGAAACAACTTCTATTAAAATTCAATTCAACGTGCCTCTTTACAAGGTTTAGAGGTCTTTATATAGCGAAACAAAGAAATAGAAATCCTAAAACGCTAATGAAAAGGAAAAGCATAAAAAAGAAGAAATCCAAAAGAAAAGGAAAACAGAAATCTTGCGTAAGAAGAATATGGAAAAGAAGAATACGCTGCATCATTCCTCCCCGGGTAGCTGAAGATTCGACCCCGAATCTGGTTCCTCATTTTCACCCCGATAGGGATAAAGATGCTTCACATTGAAGACATCAGAGGTGCGAATATGATCAGGTAGACGTAGTTTATAGGCGTTGTCGTTAATGCGTTGGACAACTTCGATGGGACCAATCTTCCGTGACTTGAGCTTATTGTATTCATGAGAAGAAAATCTATCTTTAGTTAAAACGACCCAGACAAGATCACCAGGTTGAAAAATGACTTCACGTCGATGTTTATCTGCAGCTTGTTTATATGATTCCACCGATTTCTCTAAGTGAGACTGAGCCTGTTGATGAACAAGTTGAAGCTCTTCCACGAAATCAATTGCTTGGCCATGTAAACGAGTTTGATCAGGTGCTGTTGTTAAGTCTAAAGGACCACGAGGAAGAATGCCATAAATCACCTTAAAAGGACAAAAACCCAAGCTTCGATTATGCGCATGATTGTGAGCAAATTCGGCTTGCGCTAGATGGTTGTCCCATGATTTGATATTGTCCCCGACTAGACTACGCAACATATTTCCCAAAGCACGATTAGTCACTTCCGTCTGACCATCGGTTTGAGGGTGATAAGCAGTACTCATATTCAAGTTTGTGCGAAGAAGCTTCCATAGAGATCGCCAAAAATGACTCAAAAAGCGAGTATCACGGTCTGAAACGATTGATGATGGCAATCCATGAAGTCGATAAACTTCTCGGAAGAATAAGAAAGCTACTTGTACCGCATCTGTCGTCCTCTTACAAGGAATAAAATGAGCCATTTTAGAGAATCGGTCGACGATAACAAAGATAGAATCATGACCTCTTTGTGTTCGCGGTAATCCTAAGATAAAATCCATGCTAATGTCTGTCCATGGTTGCGTTGGAATTGGCAAAGGCATATATAATCCTGCGTTGGATGCCTTTCCTTTGGCTTGTTGGCAGGCACGGCATCGCTCAACATATCGCTCCACGTCACGACGAAGAGAAGGCCAAAAATAGTTTGATGAGATAAGGTGAAGAGTTCTGTCGCGACCAACATGACCTTCAGAATGTAGCTGCTCAATGATACGTAAACGCAGGCTGCAAGTGGGAATACACAACTGATTACCTTTGAATAAAAAGCCATCAGTAAGTGTAAAGTCACGATGAAAACCAGATTGCACCTCCACCCAAATACGTCCAAAGTAAGGATCTGTAGCATATAAGTCACTAAACAAAGCAAAGCCTAATACCGAGTTGTGCATAACGGTAAGAAGAGTGTGACGTCTACTCAACGCATCTGCTACACGATTTAATTTACCGGCCTGATGCTTAATTGTGAACGTAAATTGCTGTAGAAAAGCAATCCAAGCGGCATGTCGAGCAGAAACTTTTGCTTGACTATCAAGATGTCGCAAAGCATCATGATCCGTGAATAACACAAAGTCACGATGACATAGGTAGTGTTTCCAGTGCTTGATGGCTTGTACGATTGAATAAAACTCCACATCATACGTACTGTATCTACTCCGAGCTCCTGAGAGTTTTTCACTGAAGTACGCAACAGGACGATTTTGTTGACTTAAAACGGCTCCTATCCCCAGCTTTGAGGCATCACAATGTAACTCAAAAGTAAGTGAAAAATCAGGTAAGACTAACACTGGAGCTGTAGTAAGCTTCTTTTTAATCTCATCAAATGCTGTAGCAGCCTCCTCAGTCCATTCAAACTTGCCCTCGCGCATACAGTTGGTAATAGGCGCCATAATGGTGCTAAAATGTGAAACAAATCGACGGTAGAATGACGCTAAGCCATGAAAGCTCCGAACATCAGTGATTGTTTTGGGAGTTGGCCAAGACTGAATTGCTGCAATTTTGGACTGATCTACGGCCAAACCATTGCTGGAGACGATG